AAAGCGGCACAACAAAAACACATATTTGGTAACAAGGCCTGCAGTGCTCCAGAGCTGACATTCATGACATCTGCTGTTATAAATAACATTTGTTTACAAGAGTAGAAAAACTATAGAAATATCACTGTACAAAATGTACACAGCCATTTGTCTTCATTTTTTGCACAAATGTGATTTTCATTCACAAGGTTTTGTGAAAGGAAACTCCACGAGGAGGTGAAATGTGTGGGAAAGGAGTTTGGAGCACAGTTTGATTTTGAGATCATCAATCATTAAAATTGGCTATTTTTTATTCCGAATGGCTAACTGAATGGCAAACATCAAACAAAAATATGACAGCAGATCAAAAAAAGAAAGGCTTCTGTGAAAGTTTGAAGTACATTTACTGATGAGGCCTGAAACAGAAACATTTTGTATGTGTAATGCAAGGTTTTTTACGACTTCATTTTAGGTTAATTATAATGACCATTATAAAGCTCATTTTAAATGTATAATTATGAAATAAATATTACTTGAGTATTTACAGTATGTGCTACAAGCATAAAGGAAGTATTTCATTGTTCAATGATACTTATATATACTTACATCAGTAATCCATTTAAATGCATATTAATTAGGAATCTCTGAAATAGAATTTAATGAATATTTCTGGCATGGTCACAGACAACCTGATCTGCCTAGCACTAATCTGATTGATTGACCTATGCAACTTCTGGTAGGTCGGTCAAATACTCTATTCTTGTAAGTGGGCGGTCTCTACAATACTTCTAACTTTGCCTTTTGCTTTTGTTTTTAAAGGAATAGTTCGCCCAAAATGAAAATTTCCTGAAAATGTACTCAAGATGTAGATGAGTTTATTTCTTCATCAGAACAGTTTTGGAGAAATTTAGCACTACATCACTAACTCACCAATGGATCCTCTGCAGTGAATGGGTGCCGTCAGAATGAGATTCCAAAAAGCTGATAAAAACATCACAATAATCCACACCACTCCAGTCCATCAGTTAATGACTTGTGAAGCAAAAAGCTGTGTGTTTGTAAGAAACAAATCTGTCAAAAAGGCAATTGAACCATAATACATAATAACTTCTAGTGAAAAATTCATCCCATATTATCCTCAAAATCATATTTCACCAACATATTTGTTTAGAACAGTTTTTGCATGTAAATGGAGTTTGATCTGTGCATATTTCTCTCCTGATTCAGACAAACGACTTTGTTTTTACTGGAGAAAGCAATATTATAGATAATGAATTTTAGACAGAAGCAACAGTTTGAAGTTAAAATGCGGATTGACGGATTTGTTTCTTACAAACAAGCAGCTTTTTGCTTCACAAGATGTTAACTGATGGACTGGAGTGGTGTGGATTATTGTGATGTTTTTATCAGCTGTTTGGACTCTCATTCTGACGGCACCCATTCACTGCAGAGGATCCATTAGTGAGCAACTGATGTAATGCTAAATTTCTGTTCCAGTGAACAAACAAACACATCTACTGTACATCTTGGATGGCCTGAGGGTGAGTACATTTTCAGCATATTTTCTTATCTGGGTGAACTATTCTTTTAAGTACATTTTTGCAATAGTTGATGGTGCAGTGATGTTGATTTACATGAATTGTTTCCTTTTGTCCTTTTATGCAGCATAAATGATTCAGGTATACATTCAAGGTTCTCACACCAGCATCTTTTTCTGTCTGCTGCTGGACTTTCTAGCAAAAACAGCCATAAAGGGTCACAGTATGAATCTTCATGTGAATGTTAAGTATTTACTGATAATAACTGCCAAACTCTTGGGCAGATCGGCACTGTGTACACAGGGAGGCCATAGGGCATATTTCAGAATATTGATTGATGGGAAATCTTCAGTAAAGTTTGGTTTAATTCATTACTTAAATCACATTCAACAGAACGGGTCTCAGGAAATGAAATGTAAATAACTGTAATGAACTGATTAAAGAAAAACAAAGATTTCTTCCTCCACAGATTCTAGGAAACGTTCAAAAAAGCTAATCAGAATACGATGATATCCAAAGCGTCTTACAAATGAGTGCCATGAGAGAGATAGAATGTGTGATATGCCTTTCAAACTAAGCATCAGAGGTGAAGATTGTTAATGAATTCTCTTGCTCACAGGGTTGTTTGGTCTAATTATCCAGAATGTGAATTATTTGGTAATTATCAAAGCAGCAAATCACTCGCCTACGTTGAAAATTACATGAAAATGTGCCTCAAAGCAGGGCGTGTTGAAAAATTAACAATTCTGCGTTGGTTAATGACTTGTGGAATTATGAAATCAGCTGTTATGTATGGGGGGGCTTCTTTTATGCCATAACGTGATGGTAAACACATCCCATCATAAGTAATTAAGTGCTTCGCATTTTAATCAGATGCTTCTGAGCGGCATGTTTACTGTGTGGTGGGTTCAGGTTATTGTTGGCTACAAGCTTTTATTTAATGCTACACCACTCAATCAGCCCATCTTCCTGCTCTACAAATGCTAAAGATCACACTCATGCACTCAGAAAGATTATAAAAGCAAAGGTTAAAACTTCATACATTAAAAACATTATTATTTTGCATATTGCTTATCAGATCATTAGTTCATGTGCATTCAAATTGTTTGAAATGTCCACCAGATGAAAAACGTAAGCCTGATAGCTTAGAAAACAATACACAAACAATGTTGGATCCATGACATTAAGTACAGTAGCGATGCTTGGCTTAAGAAACACCACTAGTAATGTTTGCTGATGACTTTTTAAATAAAAGTTATTAGTTTGACCCCAAATAAAATCATACACAATGCCATTTTTTTCCCCCATTAATATTTATATGTGAATGTACATGAACTACTGATCTGTTTTACTGGGCATTACATGACATGCATCTTAAAAATGCATGAAAAACTCAGTGTTGAAATGAGTGTGAAATTTCACGAGCAAATTCAATTCATTTCGATAGGAAGTTGAGAGTTTTGCGCAAGGGCGAAAAAGTTCCCTATGCAGATTTTGCTCATGTTCAACAGAAAGCTGCTGACTTCCGTGTAAGCAGTGCTTCATACATTGCTACACTATTGACAATGGAAAATGGACCATTTTTGTGGCCACAAAATTTTTACGTTTAGAGTGTTGTAGATGGTTACTAGGGCATTGCTATGCAGTTGCTATGGTGTTCTGGATAGTTGCAAAGCTGTTGCTTAGTTTCTAAGATATTCTGTTCTCTAGCTATGACTCAGGTTCTTCCGTTTATGGGATTTTTTTGCCTTTTGATATATCATGCATTTTACGAATGCATGAGTGGTGTTTGAATGTGAAAACTCTGTAACACTGTTAACAAAAAAAAAAAGGAAAATGTACTGGTAATTTTCTGCCAGGGCATTAGCCATTAATTGTATGGACATTTCTGTTAACCCTAAAATACCATGCAATTAGGTGCAAGACTCAATAAAAAATCAATACAGAAAATTCCTTCATATTAATACAGTACATTGTGCCCTATTTTTACGGATTTTTTTTTTTTTTTTTTACAGTGTAGGGTTTTGTCATTGGTTGCTAGGGTGTTGCTATCTGGTTAAAAGGCTGTTGTGTGTTTTTTTAGCTCATTGCAATGCAGTTGCCATGGTGTTATGGATAACTGTACGGTAATTGCTAACGCAGTATCTACACTGAACACAACCATTGTTTACTTTGAAATCTGTGCACGAGAGACAAAGCGGAACATGGAAAAAGAAACATACCCAAAAGCCCAGGTAAACTTCTGATCCAATTCTTGCACAGCCGTGTTTGCACCGCTTAACATAGTGACTATGTTCAGGTCTCTAGCTATGACTTTTTCCATCATTGTAAGTCTAAGGTATTTTTGCCCCTTTTTATCATACACCAGGCCAAAAACATAAATTCTGATTGCACTGAAAACAATGCATAAACAATGTGGGATCCCAAACATATTAACTATGAGTAACAGTAATTGTGATGGTTGGCAAAAGCCAATAAAAATGCTTGTTGATAATTATGGTTATTAATAAAAGTTATATGAAAAAAAAACACATTACTCATAAAGAGACACACTTACAATTAATCACATCCCACCTGTCTGCCCCCCTCTTACCTCCCCTGTATGACTAATACAATCATTTATTATGCTGAAAGTTAAAGTTCAACTAGCAGATTTCTCTGAAAACAGTGATGTCTGTCTAATGGGCAGAAAATGTCAGTGAGATCATTTTACTGTCCTGTGTGCAAAGAGTAATGTAATGAAATGAGGGCTCGTGCGGCTGAATACCTGAACAGCTCCAGCGCAGACACTGACTCATCAGACGACAGAGACAGAGCATTGATTGGGTGAGTATGACCGTACCTTTGTGTATGTTTTACCTTATGCAAAAGGATGAAGTTACCTTGACAATAAAATAGCATATGCAGCGATGTAGCACAGAAAAGATTAAATGAAGCAGATATTAAAGGTGAAGTGTGAAATTGCATAAATAATGACTGTTTCCAAACAGGTTTCTCAAACAATCCTTTCCTAGCAAATATTCTTTCCAGCTGGTGAAAAGTAATTTCTTTCTTTTTCTTTTTTGTAACTGCTTTTAAGATTGGTTTAATTAAGTTGTACTGTTGTCCTCTGTACAAAGATTATATGTACTCATTTGTTCAGTTAGTTTAATCTACTTTACATACACTACTTTTCAAAACTTTGGGGTTGGTAAATTTCTTTTTATGTTTTTGAAAGTCTCTTATGCTCACCAAGTGTGCATATATAAATGTAAATACAGTAAAATAGTAATATTGTGAAATTAATGTTTTATGTTTTACTGTATTTTAAAATGTAATTTATTCCTGTTATGTCTAAGCTGAAGTTTGCTCCACTCTTCAGTGTCACATCATCCTTCAGAAATCATTCTAATATGCTTCTTTTTTTTTCACTGTTTATTTGAAATAAAAAAAAATTGTAACATTATAAATGTATTTACTGTCACTTTCAATTAATTTCTGGTTCTATTATACATTTGCAATGCATCATACTTTTTTACTTCTTTAAATAATCAAGTACACAGTCTTTTGCCTGTTTTCTTATTTTCTAATAGCTTTCATTTCAATCAGATAGGGTAATGTGATTAATCTCAGAGCTGGTTGATTTGGTTCAAGGCCCTATTTGAAAAATTATTTGAAATCTCTATGGAGGGAATGAATGGGTAAAATTCCTCCAGAGTCATGGCTGCTGAAAAAGTCACTGTTGCATTCAATTGTTCAGATAAACAGGTGCCTCATCCGCAAAATTACTCCATTGTTTGAATTAATGTTGCTGTTTCAGATCAATCATACAAACAGAGCAAATGTTTGGAAAGCTACACAAGGAAATCATGCTACAAATAGCTTGTCTTTGCTCATTAAACCTGTATATTAAAGTATTTTAATATAAAAAATGACACACTTCACCTTTAATGCAACTCCTGAATGGCTGTGATGTTGATAGTAGACATGTTTGGAATGGAGGACAGATATTGACTTTGTGTACACAGATTACGAAGAAGATGCAGCCTCTTTTTAAAACCTAAATCAAAATCTAACCAAAGGTACCGGCCATATTCTGCATAGACTAACAAAGCAAGGGCTCTCTATACTGAACTCAGTCCATCGATCCTAAGTATCACAGGAAGCCATCGCCATGATTTCCTGTCACGTGACTGATGAGGTAAGAGCTCGGTCCAGGGCTTGATTGGGTGTTAGAATGCAGTCCAGATGAGACAATGAGAGAAAGAAAGGCCTTCTGAAGAACAGGAACCCATCGCCGTCACAGCCTATGAAAAGGAAAACAGATCAAATTAAACCAGCACGAGCAATTATGTTTGTGTCTTCCGCTTCTGATGGGTTACATGAAAAAATACACACAAACACATTACCTCCAAAACCTAGTGAGCTGCCTAGCTAGACTTTTTTAAGGGCATCACATGCATGGATATGACATAAAAAACTGTTCCTAAACGTAGAGAGCAACATCATACCTTCTGAAGTTCTGATTCTAAGGCTGTTTCACACTAGTTCGGTGTCATTAGCTTAGCAACATGCTAACATAAACAAATGGAATCAGCGGTAAAGAGCATTATTTGTGCTGAGTGAAGCAAATCACTGTTTGTATCATTAACTAAAGCTAAAAGCATAAAAACATTGTCACTTTTAATAAAACAAACATTAACTAAAATATTTAAAAATTAAAATATTTTATTTCAGCTAGTTGACAAGACAACATCCCTTCTAACAGGGAACATTCTCACAAGTTTTACTGATGTTACTAATGTTAGGACAAAACATTTTTAAAGTAAGGTTTATGGAACATTCTTATGACATTAGAAGGGGCCAAGCACCGATGATGCGATGGCACCTATTGTATTCGTTGGATTTCTTCTTATTCTTCTTCTTCCTTCTTCTTCCGCTCTTAAGTCTATGGCAGCCCATAGAACCGCTTGCAGGAAAGTTATGAAATTTGCCACTTCTCAGCAAGGTTGCTCACTAGGTTTTGGAACAGAGCTAGAAACAAATTCATATTATTCTTTTCTGTTCCTTAATTTACAGTACACTGTCAGTAACTATCAGCCCACTCTCAGCTGTAAGGATTTCCTCATCTGAGCTCAGGAGAGTTAATGAACTTTGCCCTCAGGTAGGTTCTTCATAGTAATCACATTCATACTTTTAGCATATGGAATTACTTTTGGATAAAAAAAAAAGTTGTTTTTTTTCTTTTGTTTTTTGAAGGAAATTAAATTTGAAAAATTACTGCTAACAGAAATTGGTTGAATGAAGATTTACACATTAAAGCATACTCTACACAAGTATGTGATTGCAAATCCTTCATAAATGAGCTCTATTTCTTATGTCATTGCATTTAAACATTGCACAACACTGATAGCCACATCCTCAGCAAGAGAATGCCTCAAGGGGGCGCTATAGTGGGCAGTAAGGCCTTGTCACATGACATGAATTTCTAAATGCATTAAACTCTAAGGAGTGAAGCGTCAAAGTTAAGCATTGTAACGGGACTTGAAGTTCAAACAATATAAATTATGAATGATTTCCACAGAACTTTGCATGGCAAAGTCAGATTATGATTATGTTGAGAGGTGCATCAAAACCCTAACACGAGTCATGTGAAAGGGAATTTAGTGTAGAACCAGCTAACAGGGAACATTCTCAGAACGTTGGCTAACATTCTGGCAAGATTCTCTCAAAGTTACAAGCAAACATTCTTATAGTAACATTAATAGAATGTTTGTTCAAAGTTATCTGGTCTTTAATAATGTTCTCAAATTGTGAGCACAAAAACATTAACACTTTTTTTTTTTTTTTTTAGAAACGGTTTAGCTGGACATTCGTCTTTTTTTAAATAACATTTCCATGTTTGCAAAATGATAAAACTGAATATTCTCTTAATGTTCAAATAACCAACCAAAAAGTGTTTTAAAAAACTGGAGAATGTTCCATGTTTGCAAAATGATAAAACTGAATGTTCTCATAATGTTCAAATAACCAACCAAAAAGTGTTTTAAAAATGAGAGAATGTTCAGAGTTCAGAGAACATTCAGACATAACTTGTTCATAACTTAATGGGAATGTAAGAAAAATGTCCTTGGAACATATTTTTGTCAGCTGGGAACTGTCTTCTATTATGGTAAATTTTATTGAACTTCTATGGAAAATCTTGTTGATCATGTATCTTGTTGATCATGTAACGTATTGCAATAAAGTTGTTTTTCGCCGCAGTAGTGCAAAAATGCAAACTCGTTTGGACTGTGCATTTGCAATGCTTCGGCCACAGGATTTGCATCTGCATTTGTGCACTTGTGTGGAGTATGTTTTGGCCCTTTGACCCTAAAATACATACAATAAAACAATGCGCAAGACGAGACATTAAAAGTCTGCGTCAGCATTTTCGTTGTCATTGCTAGTGGATCTCCAGCCTGCTGTGCGATTCAGTATTACTCTCTTTTATCACTTATCTTTGAATCCAACCTTTTCTCATTCTCACAACTCTCTTCTTTTTTGGCCCAAGTTCGTGACTAATCAGCACAAGCTCAGTGAAGTGTGTGGGTGTCTTCAGCAAGGTAAAGAAAAACCTCGACTCTTCTGAGCATATGACTTTTAAACTAGAAATCTGAAGCATGAAATTGGTCAGAAAGTCCTCCCACGTAGAAAAGGCATATATTGATACAGTACCTGTGACTGGACACCCTTTAGATTGGAGGGAAAATGCTCATTTTCAGTGCAAACTGAGCTGGATATTTCGTTTACCTCCAGACCTGGTTTGCGCATCCCAGTTCATTCAGAACGACAGACTCATTATGAGTGAGAAATTATAAGTGGAAAAAGAGAAAAGTTGGCAATGGAAGGTTCAAAACTATTAGACAGAAGGTCAAGTTTAACACATCACACACTGGACAAAACACAAAATTATCTCTTTTAGATTTTGATTCTGTGCCTCTAAATATAAGCTCCGTTTCAAAACTTAGTGAGCCGCCTTGCTGTCTGCCGCCTACATAGGCAGCTACCTTCTAAGTCAGCATGAATAATTAAATGGAACTCTGTCATACTACTAACGTAATATAAATAGTGTTTCTCATGCAAAACTCAATACACTCTTAAAAATAAGAGTGTATTTTTTTTTTGCATTAAATGTCATAAAGGAGCCCATGTTTGAAGAACATTTTGATAATCTAAAGAACCTTTTGTGCAATGATAAGGTTCCATGAATATTAAAGATTCTTCATGGAACCATTGATGCCAATAAAGATTGTTTTAAGAGTGCAGCATAAAAACGCAATTCTCTTGAGCATAAAAATATATGCCTGGTAGCATAATTATTTAATATGCAATTTATTTAATAATTAAATAATTAACTTACCTGTAATTATATGGGGCACTAATGAATGTGTATTTATAATATATTATAAAATAATTATTTAAACATAATAAGTACATAATTTAACTACTATGAATTATATTTTTAGTTAAAATACACAAATAAAATATTAATCCTAACCCAGTTTAATTCCGTGTAGCAAAAAAACACATAGAACACTCATAAATATTGTGCAAAATAATCACATTTTAATTATGCTAAACGATTCTATTTCAGTATTTTTTATAATAGATATTTCTCTTTATTTTATTGTATTTTTTAAATACAGGGATTGCATGACATGAAGCAGCATAGTCAAGTTGCCTACCTTTCAAAAAAGCCATTGCACATTAAAATGCTCCCTCTGTAGTCAGCTCACTGGGTTTTGGAACAGATATACTCTAAATCGAATATGAAATATGTACAACATGCATATCTGGTGTGTGCACTGACAAGACAGCTAATTACAACATCCAATTTCACTTCCTTTACCATGCGCTTTCTTTGCTCACTGCTCCTGATTCATTTAAGGATCCCCTGCTAATAATCTTGTGTGGCTTGGCAATTTATGGTCTTTCATGATAGTACTCCACGGGTCTTAAACACTAACCCCCTTCTGACTCTGATCCAGGGAATTCAATTAGTTCATCTGCCTGTAATTGGAGGATCTCAGAGGTGCTTCTTGATGGAGGTTTCAGGTCAGTTTGTTCTCTGCATATTTCTTCAGGCCACTTTTTCTTATGTGATGAGTGAAACCAAGGTTTTTTTTTTTTTAAAAAAGGCAGTTTTTTTAAGCCAATTTAAGTTATAATCACCGTTAGGTAATCTGTTTTGCATTGACACTTAACTAATTGTCTAACTAATTGTACTTTGATGAGGCATTATATGTGTTTAAAATAATTTATTATATATTATAATTTTGAAGCATAATACTTACATAATTTAACTAATATTAATCGTATTTTAAATTAAATATTTAAAATATTAATATTAATCCACAATTTTAAAAAATATATTTGTAGTGAGTTTCAGGCTTACCTCGTTTCCCATTTTAAACAGTGATTTGACCTAATTAAACTCATCAGCTGAGGGAAGGATTGGGCGCAACAGGAGCAGATCATTCTCTCATTAGGAAGACTAGCCAATAAAGATGTGATATTTGACATTTGCAGTCAGGTGGTGTCTTCTGCCCAGATCCTTAAAGCGGTAGTTCACCCCAAAATGAAAATTGTATCTCATATCATTCCAAACACGTATGATTCCCTTTCTGCTGTTACCATGGAACAGAAAAGGTGCATAAAGAGAAAAAAAGACCAGAATATTATTCAGAATTCACTTTTTGTTTACAAAGAACATATAATCTAATCTTGGTTTAGAATGATATGAGAGCAAAACGAGTTTTCATGAGACAGCGTGAACTGTCTCTTTAAGTACACGTAACTGTTAGCTCTGTATGTGGAGCCTTACTGGTGTTTTGGAAATTCAGTTGAATTAAAAAGTGATAGATCAATGGTTTTAAAAGGATAGTTCACCGAAAAATTAAAATGTCAACATTTACTCACCCTCACTTTATTCTGCTGAACACAAACAGTTAACGGTAGCCATTGACATCTATAGTATTTTTTTCCATTCTATGGAAGTCAATGGCTACCGTCAACTCTTAGGTTACCCACATTCTTCTAAATATCTTTGTTTGTGCTCGACAAATGAAAGAAACTCATACAGGTTTGAAACAACATGAGGGTGAGTAAATGACAGAATTACCTGTTAAATCATGTTTATCTCCAATCAGTATAAACCACGGCTATGAAGTCTTAGGATAAATTAGATATGAATCTAATTTGCAAAATGTTTGAAACAGACATTTTGTTCATTGTAAATTTATCAAGTGATGCAGTTAATTTTTTAAAAATATTTATGATGCAGTTTAGTCAGTTTTTTTGTGGTTGCACAAAATTATCTTAGTTTAAGCTAAAGATATTAAAGCTTTATTCTGTTCCTGATCCAACTCGTTATAATAATTCAAATCAAATCATTCTTTACTTACAGTAACTACTTTTCAGGTTTAAAGCTTTTACATAATGTAATATAGATTTTTTTTTATCAACATAAAACGTGAATCATGACAAGGAGCAAAAAGAAATGACGAACAAAAAACAAAAGTCCAAAATCAACACCTTTTTATTTTCATATATTTTCATAAAGGATGAGTGCAAAGAAAGAGCTTGTGATGTGTACCAGTCGCAAAGCCATGGACCATAAGGCATCAGTAAATACAAGCTTTATATATACTTACAACAAATACATAATACAAAAACTCAGTCATGGAGGCCATCAAAGAAATCTGCGAAGACGTGCACACAATATCAGAAAAGAAACGTAAACCAGAGCGATGGAGAAGTGTTGATAACGACCACTGAGTAAATGCATGGATGGATAGTAAGAAAAAAGGAAAAGAAAACAACATTAACAACAACACACACACACATACACACAGAACAATTCATACATTCATAATGGAGCAGAAATATAATAGATGACAATGAGGTCGGATTGAGTGATTGGAATATTAATTACAGCAATAGATTATTAAGCAAAATCTACAGCCTGTTAAATAGGCCTGATATGGAAGCTGCTAATAATGGTTGTTAACAAGATCCCATCATTTCCCATCATTCCCAGTGTTAAAACACTGTCCCGACACGTCCTTGTAGCCCCGTTTCAAAAAATATAGAAACACTATAGCACAGTTATTTACTTATAGGTTTAAAATTGTGCCTTACTAGGCCTGATACAGACTTTAAATATCATTTTGTATTAGTTTCTCACATACGTCGTCATTGTATTTCGTCACAGCTTGTAAAACTACTATGTCTGGTTCTGTACTTGAGGGGACAAATCCCCTAAAAATGTTTTCATGCATGTAAAAACGGTCGACCGTACAAATATAAACGCCCACTTAACAACATCTGTATTTTTGTGATCCTAAAATATACTTGAGCACTTCAAAAATAACAGCAGCAACAAGTTTGTGAGCACTGGCACCGTTTATGACCCAAAAGCCATGGCTTTACAAGTGAGCAGATTGTCTGTACCCAGAGTGCATGGTGGAGAAAGCGGGATAGCGGTTCGGTTTAAGCCATACCTAGCTAGCGACACCAACCTTCACACTCATTTTGACATGATCACCGTTCCGTGTTACAACATGGACACTCCAGAACTTGCAACATGCAACAGTCACATTAATGAGATGTGATTTAGAATAATATACAAATGCCGCCTTGGTGAATAGTGCACTATTACTCATGGTACTCTATATTCTCTACAATACAACAATGTGTAGCCTAGTACAAACAAAGCAAAGCTTTAAATTACGCTAAAACATTCGTAAGTATGCACTGATGAGAAAAGTTTTGTAAGTGTGATAGATACAGTCTGTTATGTCTATCCCTTTTTCTTTGTAGGCTCAGGAATAGCAGTTTACCCCCAGGTAATTCTGTTTTTGTCACAGTTAGGCATGATACAATTCAAGTGTCGATAATATACATACGTGCCTCGAGTCGCGGCAGGCACGTTCAATTACGGCGCCATCGCACAAACAACGCGTCTTTCTATATAGGCGATGCTGACCACGCAAGTAAATGAGTGACGGCTACAACGCAACAGAAAGGGAGAAAAAGTCTTCACATTCTCGGAATACTCCCTGCGTTACGGTAAAGCTTTGTGATCGGAAAATTCAGACGACAGGATGGAATTCGGAGAAACACTGATACAGCGTGAATGAGAGAAAACAAACAAGTGTAAAAACAACTCCAAAGGGTACATTTGTCAAAATCGAAAAAATAAATACATTCATCCAATGACTAAATTCAAAAAAAGAAAAAAACAATACAGACAAAAACTTGAACACTAGTTTCAGTTGTTTATAAAAATGCATTGCAGAGGTTCAACGAAAGTAAACAACATTCACTGAAAGTGGACTCATTCAAGATAATGAGAAAAAAATCACAAGCAGTTGATATATGCAAAACAGATCAAACATACATTTAGCAACAAAAAAAGAAGAAAACATCTCCTTTTCATGACCAAATGATACACCAGAAAATACTGGGTGCTCTAAATATGCTAAATGATCACTGCGTTTAGGAAACATAGCTAAATACAGCAGAATACATGCACCATCCAGTAGCGACTCTCTCAGTCACGCTGACTGACTCTATTTTAATGTTACCTCATTGGTTTGCGTTTTTTGTTTCGTTTATTTTATAAACAGGCGTTTTTGAGTTTAGCTTAGCTCATTTCACATACTCAGCTGATTTCCAGAAGTGTACTGGGTGAGACAGGCGACGGTTGCGTTTCGGGAGTTTCTCCAGTAGTTCCACGAGCTTGGAGAAGCTGGGCCGCTCTTCCTGTTCATACGCCCAACAGAACAGCAGGATGTCCTACGGGAAAGAAGAATCTGATCAAGTACGAAGTTCTAATTTGACATGATCTAAAAGCCAGTCAAGCATCCATCTTTTCCATACAAAATAAAGTGAATGGCCTCTTTTGGAACTGTCATGCTCAAATGAAAAAAGCACAATAAAAGTAGTTCATATGACACATACACTATATGTGACAGCTTTGTGTGAAAAGTCATATATATAGTCTGGACCCCAGAGCCTTTGAGGTACATGTGAATACTCACGGATATCTCCTTGCCCATGCCGATCTGAGTAAGGTTGGGCTTCATTCCACTTCCCACCTGCCAGATAATGACTTCAGCTGGCTGATTCTTAAAGAGCCACTCACGTGCATGGAGCTCGTACCAGATAGTGCTGAAAGATACGACACACATGAGTGTTAGTGTGCATGCATGCACTGGTTTCTCTATACTTGTGAGGGACAAATGTCTAAAAATGTTGTCATTAATATAATAAAAAACCTTTTAAAAGCAAATAAAAAAGGTTTGTAAATTGGCTAATGTCTTTAAATACGTTTTTTAAATAAAATATAAACACGTGAAGAACTTTTAAAAAAGGAAATGTTATATGTATAAATGTGAGTATGAGTGTTGATTCATTTTACTTGTGAGGGCAAAATGTCTGAAAATACATAGTAGAGATTTAAAAATACAGTAAAACTACTAAATACAAAAAGTTTGTAAAGTGGCCAAATAATGTCTATACTAAAATTATTTAAATTAAATCAAATGAATAAATCTACAAATCCTAATAAATGTAATATACCTTAATAAGTAAAAAAAACAAACATTAAAAAACGTATTTAAAATATTACTGTATATATATATACTTTTAAAATTTAAATAATTTAATAATATATTTCTGAATGCCCTGACAGAGTATTTAGAAAAAAAAAGTCAAAAACAAATAAAAAAGGTTCATAAAAATATTTTAAATATAATAAATAATTATTTATATATTTATATAAATAAAAAATACATTTGTATATATAATACAATTAATAAATCTATCAATCTTAAATATAACTGGCATAATTTAAGAACAATAGGAGTTCTTTTACAAGTATTTGTGTACAAGTTTACGAGTCTGTACTTGTTTTGCTATACCTTTGAGGGCCAAAGTTCTGAAAATGTCCCTAAAATAGTAAAATCACTGAACAAAAATGGTTTGTAAATGGCTCAAATAATGCATTTATTAAAATCTTAAATTATGTAAATAGATCTTAATTATAGTTTGTTTAATTTAGGAAGAACAAAAAGTCAGATGGAACTCCTCACAAGTATGTCACAAGCATAAGCTGCGCGCGCGTGTGTGTGTGTGTGTGTGTGAGCACGAGGACATGTGAAGAGTGCCACGGGCCTCCCTGAGGGGCCACAATACAGCAGTTCAAAAGCTTTAAAACACTTCTGGTGCTCTACGTCACTTTGCTTTCTGATTTAGTTAGAAGTCATTCAAGATAATTAATAAATGACTTTGAAGTGCTGTTGACTGCTGAAAAACACAGTATTCTGCTCTAAAGAGCATACTTATGTTAAAGTTTACTAAACCGTGCTTAAGAGCTAATTAACAATCATTGAATGGAGAGCGCCACTGAAAAGCCCAATCATCCCAGCTCTGCAATTTAAAACCAAAAGTAAAACGTGCAGCTTGCTGAGATTGGTGAGAAAAACTAAATCGGTGTAGTTGATATTTTGAGGCTTTTGCAATATACCGGTACTGAAGGGGAGAATTCACTAAGAATTGCATTTGAACCCAATGATACAGTCTTAGGCTATGTCCACATTAATTCAGATAAACTTTTTCTCTGTGTTTTGGCCTTTCGTACACAATGAGGCCGTGTTTTTGTCCAGTGAAAACTAAGCTTTTTGAAGATGTTCTCCCAAGTGGAACAATTTTAAAAGAAGTTTTCGCATTGTAGTGTGGACTGTGAAAACAGAGGTATTCGAATATATACCCATGTATATATCTATGGATGTACCGACATTGTTGTGCCTGCCGTTTTATGCATTTAAATGTCAGTTTGGACGAGCAACCTTTCAAAAAAATGCTTAAACACACTAGTCATTTTTAAAATATATCCATATAATTGTAGATGTAGCCTTAAAAAAAGCTATTTTTGGTGTTGAAGGTTCCATGAAGAACATCCACAGAACATTTCCATTCCACAAAAGGTTCTTTGTAGTGGAAAGGGGTTCTTTAGAACTATCACTGAATGGTTCTTTGGGGGAAATGGTTCTTCTGTGGCAAAATTTGCAACCTTTATATTTAAGAGTGTAGTGTCATTTATTTGCATGTAAAAAATGCAATTTGCACAACACATTTCCAATCTTGCAGGCTGTTTCTTAAAGGGTTAGTTCACCCAAAAGTACAAATTACCCCATGATTTACTCACCCTCAAGCCATCCTAGGTGTATATGACTTCCTTCTTTCAGACGAATACAATCAGAGTTATATTAAAAAAATGTCCTGGCTCTTCCAAGCTTTATAATGGCAGTGAATAGTGGTTGAGATTTTGAAGCAAGATGATGATGTAGGACGAAGGCGTAGAGTAACACAAATACATCGATTAGCTTCAGAAGGCCTTTATTAACCCCCCGGAGCCATGTGGAGTTCTTTTTATGATGGATTTATGCACTTTATTTTGCTTCAAAATCTCTACACCCATTCACTGCCATTATAAAGCTTGGAAGAGCCAGGATATTACTCCAATTGTATTCGTCTGAAAGAAGAAAGTCATATACACCTAGGATGGCTTGAGGATGAGTAAATCATGGGGTAATTTTCATTTTTGGGTGAACTATCCCTTTAAGGTTGGAATGTATGGCTTTTGCCCAGATTTTTGCCCCAATTTACAGTCTGGACAAGTTGATGCAAGTTGCCGAAAATCAGAGCCAATCTACAGATTTGAGTTGACAGACTTCATAAAATATTGCATAGTGTATGATGGTCACAGACAGATTTATTTTAGCTTCAGACTATGATTCAATATTTTGAGCTGATTTTAGAACACACAATGTTCTCATTTGTCATGTACCTCCTAACAACAAGGCATGTGTTTGTTGTGTTCAGAACGACTTGAAAGTCTAGTGTGTGATCAGCAGCATCGCTAGGAATTCTGGGCCCCTTGCACTGATTTTGCTATGGGGCCCCCACGCGAGGACATCGTTCTGGGCCCTTCTTAATCTATGGGCACTATGCACTCTGTCCTCCTTTTCCCTCCGGTATAGTGACACCCCTGTGTGTGATCCTCAGTCGTTTAGTGTATGATGCCCAGTTTTCCTCTGTAACTATTTACAAAGTCGGCAAGTGCCTATTGTTTTATATTTTCCAATTTGAAAAGTCATGTAGTGTATTCCAGCATTTAGTGCTTGTTGTAGAGGATGCACTAGACCAGTGTTTCCCAACCTTTTTTTAGTTGCAGCACCCTTTGGAAATTTTAACAAACTTGTGGCACCCTACAAAATTAATTTTGTCACAATATTTGAATTTCTAAACTTCGATATGATAATTTGAAAAATATAGATATTCGGTATTCCTGGTCTGCCGTACTTTACTGAGACTTTTTCATTTTACTGTGATCCAGACACCCGAATCGGCTTGTAAAGAAAATACTGAAAATGCACTCGTCTACACCGAATCTGGACATATGCCCAGTTTCTCCATCATTTGATCATCATTTGATGAATTACCGCTGCCATGATTGCTAGAAAACATACATAAACCTGTCTTTTTAAAATAAAAATACATTTACCGCCCACAGAAAGCAAAGTCGATAGTGCCAGGCAGATAGTGCTGAATAATGCATACTATAATTAGCCAAATTTAAATAGAAAGTATGCACGTTTGTGCTGCAAAGAATGACAACGACTTGTGGGTGGTTAGTGAAAAATTCCATTTAGTGAATTCGACCCCTGATTTTTAGCATAACGTATTGTAAAGTTCACTCCGTATATACAGATAGCATCTTAAAAAGTCCATAAAACAGAACATGAGAGGATTACGTGCATAAAATATCCCACAGCTGCTGCGAACTCTCTGCCGCATTAAAACACGGCACTCGCAGAGAACAATGGAAGTGAAAAGAGGACGCAGAAGGTACAATAGGGAGAACTGCTTTGGGGTCACCTCTAGGTAATGTCCCTTTAGTGTGACCAGCTGGACAGCTTGCGTGGGTGCTGTATTTGGCTCCCATAGAGTGACAGTGTGACGGAGCCTCCATATGGAGAGAACAGCTGAGGACGCAATTGTGTTAGGACCCAACAGAGCAGCATTCCTTCATTTCATCAGCCATCCATCCATCCATTCTTTTATTCATTTGGCCTACACTCTCACTGCCTCTGGAAAGGCCCGGGTCAGGTAGAAATAAGTACAGATGGAGGTTCAGTTCTGCATGCTGCCTCATATGAATACAATCTGATTAGTGGAGGATGAGCACTGAGCGAATCGATTTTGTGATAATACTCATCCTAAACGGGCCATATTCTAGATGTTTGTATTATTGTGAATTTATGATTTTAAATTGTATTTTTCTTTCCATTTGATACTATAGCTGTATCTTCTTATGGCCACTGTACCAGTTAAAGGAATCCGTTTAAATGGAAAAAGATTTCAATTGATCTGACTGGATATCCTAAATGTATTTGGACACTTACAAATCTATGAATGTAATTGCATTAGATAACATATCAAACCAAGTGACATCTGCAAACAAATGCTTCTCTGAAAACAAATCACTCTTTCACTGAGACATTTTTCCCCAGTGGCTTTTATTAAACTGGTGGTTTGGTAATTTTTAGTGGATGCATGAAGTCAGTTTTCTTCAAGTAAACAGTAATATTGTAAAATATTATTACAATAAAAAATGTTTTCTATTTGAATATATTTTAAAACGTAATTTATTCCTGTGCTCAAGAAACACATTATTATTATTATCAATGTTGGAAGCAATTGTGCTGCTTAATTATTTTGCGCAAACCATGATATATTTGGATTCTTTAAATAGGTTGAAAAAGTTCAAAAGAACAGCAATTATTTGAAACAAAAAATATTTTGTAACATTATTGATGTCTTTAGTGTTACGTTCTGTCAATTGAATTCTTAGTAAAAGCATTCATAATTTTTACTAATCCCAAACCTTTTAAAATTTTGTAGTGTATATATTCTATTTTATTATGTAAACCCAAACAATCTTATTTTTGTTAAATATTTTGCTTGAAAAATTGAAAAATCTAATCTTTCAAATAAATGCCTCTTAGTTTGATATTTTCTATCTAATGCAATGCCATATGTTGCAACATGCAATGTGTTTTAAGTACTATACCTAATGAAATGTGACTATATTTTAGGTTTCGTATCAAAACATTATTACAATCTCCAAATGCTGACACTATGAGGGCACATGAACTGTGGAGAGAAAAAGTCATAGGCTTATTTCTGTAAATAAAATTCTGTTGGTCCCCTGAGTGACAAATGCAGAGAAGCAGTGAGAGGTGAAAACACTGGTGCTGAGAGGGGGACAGAGAGGGACCCACCCAAAGGCAAAGACATCAGACTGTTTGGAGAAAGGAAGCTGGTTTTCTGCAGTCTCGGGGGAGAGCTGACGGATGAGCTCAGGAGCGAGATGACACAGCCAGCCGCTTGGGATCCGCAGCTTATCCTTTCTCCTACTGGAGAGAAAGAGACACACAGAAGACGATGAAGTTTAAAACATGATCAATCACAACACACAAATCATTTTTGAGTTAGATTTATTTGTACCACACAAAAGGTCAGAAAACAAACTAAAAGATCATTATAGTGACAATGATGTCCAAGAAATACAATAGAGGGCAAGCAACTATTAGTCTTCCATACTCAGACTATTGACATACAGTCTAGTCCACAAATGAGACCTCTTTTTGAACTTGTTTCCCCCTAAAAAGCAATGAGACCAAATGACGAGCAAATGGAGGTTTTGCTATATTCTCTGTTTTTCAAAATGTTCTCCTCAGACAAATAATATAGAATTTTTATATTCTGTAGAGTTTCAGATTTCAGCAATTTCTCAAACTTTGCTCAGATTTGTCAAAGTCTGCAAGCAAAAGTCAACGATTTCTTTATGAACTCGAAACATTTCTTATAAAATTGTCCTAAATGATCGGAGCTGCACAATTCACCATCATTTTTTGTAGATCTATACTCTTATTGTTTTTTTTGACAGTTTGTGTCTATATTTATTTCTAAATCTTTTTTTTTTTTAAATACAAAGTTGATATTTGTGACTATGTTCCACAGAAACTCTACAACACGTTTCAGAGACTGAATGGCAAGAAACTCAAACTACGAGCTTTTTTTTTTTTTTCTTCTTCTCAGACGTACACAATGTAGCAGAGTCTGGGAACTTGTAAACACAACTTTGTTTCCCAACGGACCGATTAAAAACCTGTGAACCCTCTACAATGATAAAGTAGTCGCCTCCTTCTCAAGCGTCAGACATGGATTTAAAAGTGGTCTATCATTGACAAACATAGAGCCGTTTCAGCTTGACTGAGTCCCTGATCCAAGTAAAAACGAATTCCCTCACCCATGATGCTGTAGTATATATATATATATATCCAAACCAGGGTCGAAAATTAAAGGGCTTAGAAAAAAATTCCATCAAAATGAACAAAAATACCCCCCAAATAGTGGGGACAAAAAGCATTTCTTTATTCTTTTCTTTACTCCCTTAACATGCTATATATACATAAATTCATAATAATATTAATCATTTATAATAATAATAATATAATTATAATTATATTAATTTATAATGAATTTTATACCATTTAAATTTGATAAATAATATATTTTCAAATAACATTTTTTATAAGCAACAACCTATATAATTATGCACAGTCAGATTTCATTTTAATAAATGAGATCAATCTATGCAACTTAAAAATATAAAAACCGGGTATGGTTCCCTTTCAGTCGGTCACTCTCGATGTCACGTCGGATGACCTGTAACCGAGACGTTTTATATGGTTAAAAAAAAAATTCAAACTCAGGAGCAAATATATTGCCCCTTAATTAAAATAAAATAATAATAGTAATAATAGTAATAATAAACACTGCTTCAGACCAAGAAACAATAACAACAACAAACTTTTGTTACATTAGATCATGTTATGTTACATCATGATCACAAAAGACAGAGAGAGAGAAAAAAGAGAGCTCTTAGGGCTTCAACAGCATTAAAACCACTATTGCCTGAAATCTGGGTGGCCCATCAGACTGCCCAGAGTAAATTTCCAATGACTTCATCTTTCCTGGAGCATTTCCATTGAACGAAAGGTTCTTTATAGGGAAAAAAGGTAAAATATTCTTCACACTACAAAAATAAAGTTTTATTTTTTTTAAAGAACTGTCTACTGAAAGGTGGTCTAAAAATGGTCTCATCACTGTGAAAACCCCTTTTTGGAACCTTTATTTTTAAAGACTTCCTTTGGTGAAAATCAAGCTTTTAACATTGTTTACATGTCTATCTGCTATTTTTAATATATGCTTAAAGACAAGCCACGTGCAAATTCATCAGTCAACACCATTGCTGAGCATTTTCTCCTTAAAACTGCACTTCTGCAAAGACAGTCTCAAACATATGGTTTGAAACGGTCTGTTTCCTACCCTCACAAACATGTAACCAATCACGTCAACCTGCTGGGCGGGGCTTTTCATATCATTAGTAAAGCGTTTATACGTTAGGATGTTGATTTTTAGATGGTAGCTTTCTGAGATGGCGAATGGGAACATGGTTTGTGTGACATTAGCAAAAAATAAAGTAGTGTTTGATAAAGTAGTGAAGTAGTGAAGCCAAAAGCTAATGATATCAATTACCGTTACGTGTCCAACGGTGTAAAGAGCGATACATAAAATGCATTACCATTCTGATACATTAACTTGTAGATGACCCTGTATAATTAGCCCTCTTCCTCTTCTTCTTGAGAATTCCTCTTTAAAATAATCACATTTTGTTGCTTTGCAGCCTGAAATGAAGATGGACACAGTTTTTGTTTTATCCAGCTGTATTTACTCAGTGCAACTTATAACATCCAACTGAAAGATACAACACCAACATGTCAGAATAAATAAATAAATAAAAACCAGAATCATTGAGTTTGAAAAAGGATAACCCCCTCCTAAAAATGACTTGTAAACTCAATCAGGTGTAGCTAGTCTCCTTCTCAATGGCACACAAAGCCATTTGACTTTCAACTGTGGTCAGCTGTGGTCATTTTGATCAGCTCAGCAAGAAAAGAGCTTTCCAGGAGCATTTCAGTCCTTGGTAGTGCGACTGAAGCAAACTATCAACTATGGGTGGCAAAGCACTGTCAAAAGATCTCCGGGATGAAGTTGTGGACAGGCACAAGTCAGGAGATGGATACAAAAACATTCCAAAGGCTTTATCAATGCCTAGAAGCACAGTGAAGTCTATTATTAAGAAGTGGAAGATATTTGTTACAACACAGACCCTCCCTGGATCAGGATTTAGCTCCAAACTGGATGAAAAAGCCAGAGGAAACTGGTCAGAGAGGCGACCAAGAGGCCTACAGCAACTCTGAAGCAGCTGCAGGAATTTATGACAAAGAGTGGTCATTGTGTGCATGTGACAACAATATCACAAATTCTCAAGCAAAAAAGACATTCATCAAGAAAGGCCACATGCAGTCACGACTGAGCTTTGCCAAAACGCATCTTGAAGATTCGACTGAATTATTTGGCCTCAATACCAGACGATATGTCTGGCGAAAATCCAATACAGCTCACCATCCAAATAACAGCATTCCTCCAGTAAAGCATGGAGCTGGTAATATCCTGTTATGGGGGTATTTCTCTGCAGCAGGGACTGGAGCACTTGTCAGGAGCAAAGTCTAGATGTGCAAAGTTAGTAGAGAAATATCCCAACAGACTAAAGGCTGTAATTGAAGCAAAAGGTGTTTTTTTTATTTTAAAGGGGGGTGATTCTTTTCTATACCCACTGTATGTGAACTCTTCTTTCTATCTAAATATGAATAACTGGTTGACAAAAGCAACAATTTTCATCCATTCGTATTTTTGCAGTGCATTGAAATTAGATTGCTAGAGGGAGTTTCCCCTATAAAAGTTCCTGAAGTCCTGTCAATCGTCTGTGTGATAACAACATCTGCTGCTACTCCAACTCACTGAAGCAGACATTTATCAGGAACCATAAGAAGACTGAAGGTGAAACTGGATTTAGCACTGTAGCCCACACTCTAATAATTACAGGCTTTGGTTTTTAATAAGCAGTTCTGAAAGTCATTATGGGATTTAAGGACGTTATTAATGGCCTGCCACATGTATAGTATGATGGGTTGTACATTTGTCACTCTTCTACTGGAGACACAGAGAGAAAGGTACATCTTTGTACCATATTTACCACTAAAAGGTGCATAGTAGTACTGTAAGATACATACTGTATCACAACTCTAAGGTACTAATATGCACCTTTTAATGGTACAAAGTAGTGCCTTTAAGGGTACTGCTTCCAGCGAAAAAACTGTTGTACCCATAAAGGTACAGTTATTATTACTTTTTTTCTGGCAGTGTAGACAGCATTTTACAACATCACAGGCGCACTCCTGAAGTGAAGGCTTTTTCAAAAGGTAGGCATGTTGCCTGCCTAATTTTGGCCAATATCTAAGGCAACATCAGATGTGTCCTTTTGAGAGCAATAAAAATTATTTGCAAAATGAAAATGAATGTGAGAAATTAATTCAATGATTAATTCAATGACAAAATGTATTGATACAAATATCGTAGTTCAATATAACATAAAAACTTACCCAATATTTTGTTTTCTACAGGTTTTTATGTTTATTAGACTTCAGCATTAGCTTATCAACAGCAATAATTTAGGAGACTTTATTTAAAAATGTAAACTCATTCGATGGCTGACACTGAAAACGTTTCTACTTAAAGAGAAAAGAATATCATTACTTGAAATTGCAGGGAGTTGTGTGTTTGTGTGAATTTGGACCTACCTGCCTGCTTGTAGAACACCAGATATTGTGAACAGGCCAAAGTCGGTGATGACCACTTTCCCGTTGTCATAAAATACATTCTTGGATTTCATATCTTTGTGAAGGATCCCTTTGGCATGCAGGTAGCCCATGCCCTGAAAAAATGGTGTTAATGTAATTAGGGATACATGTTTTTGGTCTAATACTCATTTTATGTCTAGAATTTATTTTCTAATTCTAAGTCTAGTTGAACATTTTCTGATAAACACTTTAATTATGATTTAAAATGTGATTTAAAAAAAAGTTCCAGGTTTGCTGTGTTGTTTGTAGGGCTGCAGAGTTTGATGTAAAATAATAGATTATGCTGTACATGAATATGACTATAATAATAATAATAATAATAATAATAATAATAATAATGAGAAGAAGAAGAAGAAGAAGTATTTTATGATTTTTACTATTACTAAACAAAATAAGAAATAACTACTGTAATATTTCACTGTAAAATAAAACAGTTAAGTATTTAATATAAAAAATAACAATACAAATTTTTTTTTTTACAGTACAGTTGTAAAATAGTAAATGTTATTGTTGCAGTTACTAATATTTATGAATTTCTTCATTTTTAAACATTAAACCATATATCTTTTATTTTGGCAGAAAACTTCAGGGTTGGTGCATGTTCCCAAATGGACGCTATAAGCGTCCCAAACTCAGAGCAGATGGAGAGATGAGTTTGTGTGGTGTGGCAGCGAACTGAGCTGCTCTGAAACACCAAAAACACTGAATGATGAGCTGCTCACTTATAAAAGAACTCAGTGCTGTCCTTCACTCTGATACATGCTCTGCATGTATTTAATTAAATTGCAGCCTTTGTGATTTAATAATAATCATGTGATTTCTGTTTTATTCCATTTAATTGTGCAGCCCTAAATGTAATCATATGCGGTGTATGTGAAGGAACAGTACATGTACAGGTCGATATAAAAGCTTCCCAACACTGACATGTTTTCCAAAATGACTGCTATACACGTGAATCAATTTTAGCTGACATTTAGCGAATTCATCACATTGACTTCACATTAATTACTCTTACCTTCACCATCTCTTGTGCAATTTGTCTAGTCTTGTTCACGTCGAGAACGACTTTTGCATCTCGAATCACTGAGTAGAGGGTCCTGCCCTTACACAAACTACAACAGAAGAACAAAAAAAACACATATTAGACATCAGCAGCAACCATAACATCAAAATATATCCAGCTATTTTTCAGCTATTTGTGCAGATTGTGGCTTTTTAAAACAATCTTTGCAGAAATAAAGAATAGCATTACAGGTTTATGCAGATTCAGTGTATAAAACAACTCACTCAAGTATGAATCAAATATACATTTCACTATTTTTACAATTCATTGGCAAAAAAACTTGAAGCGCTAAAGGTAAGGGCAATTTGAATAAAATGAAATAATATCATAAGACTGATTATTGATGTCTATAAGAGTACTAACTGGTATTGGTCATAATTGAGGTTGCAATTATGAATGCATTTAACAGTATATTAAAAAATTATGAGTGCAATTTAGCTTGTTGATGAAGAATACCAATAAAGCCTGCCAGAAAATACAACTCATTTAGCTGGTTTATGAACTCGGCAGGCTTGTGTTCCCCATCATTCTCAAAGCCAGCACAAGTCAAAATAAAATATAATGAATTTTAACCATTTCATTTATTGTGCCGCCACCGAGAATGATGGGAAATGAAGGTAGGGGTTGTGACTACCTAAAGCACAAGAGTAATAAAAGGTCATATGATGAGCATCTATCCTAGCATCTATCCTAGTGTAACCTGTGGTTAAAAGCTTTGCTTTAGATCACAAGGCTAAAAGTTCACAGATCACCCCTCATTTAAACCTACAACCTACATTTTCATATAACATATGTTAGGACAAGAATGATGCATGTTCATACTTCAGCACACTGTTCTGAATTTACATCCAAGCAAATTTGAGCACTGTCACTTGGAGGACTAATGATGCTGAGTGAGCCATGAATTTCACCTCTGCAGGAATGAGGAGAAAGACACCCCTCCAACTCCCTGACATCTGAGCTCCTACTGTGCCACCTGACAAAAACGTCTGCGTTTTTCCCCGGACTGCCCTCTTCCTCCATTTATACATATTCATAATGCCATCAGGGTACGAGGCCCATTTTTAGCGTCACTCTGGCCTTTTGGCCTTCTACAGTGTGGGATCCTTCAAATGCGTGATGCACAAATGCAAATGCTGAACTCTGTATATATGCCGTCAGTACAGAAATGTGTCACGTACATCACGTTTCAACTGTTAACACTAATAATGTCAAGACAGACTATTCCAAATAATGACAGGCTCTGACATTCTGCTGCAATTGTTGTACACACTGCATTTGCAAGCAAAAAGCCGAACTTTTATTCCACACTGCAGGGGTGATACGAAAAACAATCAAAGCATAATCACTCACGACAATGCTAAGACACACGATCAATATTTTTTTCAATATTTATTTATTTCCCTTATTTATTTTTAGGAAAGAGGGTCATTTCTAGCAACTATATCTCAATTAGTTTGTTTGGGCCTGCTGATTAAGGACTATGAATAAAACCATTATGACTTTTGTCTGTGTTAATAGAAAGACACAAAATCATGCACTATAATTAGTGAGGAGTAGACATAACTATACGTTTACCAGTTTTTTGCCAAATGAAAACTATTTGCCAGTAAGGTCAGAAAAATAAGCCAATTTTACAATTTGTTTACATTTTTACTGGAAATGAACTTTAAAAATATATATATAAATATATATATTTTGTGTGTGTTATAATATTAATATTAAAATGGACAGACAGAGACAGATAGATAGATAGATAGATAGATAGATAGATAGATAGATAGATAATGTTTACATTTGTGGTCAAAGGCATGTCGTTTTAAATTGGGCTGAAAGCAGGGCACTAATGCAAACTATGAGGTCATGCTGATTAGAGAAGATCAGGAAAAGTGAGTCAAATTTAAGAAACATTCATGAAGCTGGAGCTGTGGAGCTTACACACGCACCGGAAACACTGAGCTGTGGTCACTTACCGAACTCTCAAATGAAAATTGCCAGTAAGGTCAGAAAAATAAGCCAATTTTACAATTTGTTTACATTTTTACTGGAAATGAACTTTAAAAATATATATATAAATATATATATTTTGTGTGTGTTATAATATTAATATTAAAATGGACAGACAGAGACAGATAGATAGATAGATAGATAGATAGATAGATAGATAATGTTTACATTTGTGGTCAAAGGCATGTCGTTTTAAATTGGGCTGAAAGCAGGGCACTAATGCAAACTATGAGGTCATGCTGATTAGAGAAGATCAGGAAAAGTGAGTCAAATTTAAGAAACATTCATGAAGCTGGAGCTGTGGAGCTTACACACGCACCGGAAACACTGAGCTGTGGTCACTTACCGAACTCTATTCAAGCTTACCTGGTGATGATGGCCAGATGAGGGGGTCTCATACACGCTCCCATGAACAGGACCACGTTTTCATGCCGCGTGTTCCTGTACGCCATCACCTCTCTTTTAAATGCTTTCAGCTGTTCTTCATTGTCTCTTTCAATGTCAATTAGCCGTATGGCCACTTCTCCATGCCAGCGTCCATGATAGACCTGTCCAAAGCGGCCTTTCCCGATCAGCTCTCCGATCTCCACCTGCTCCATGGGAATGTCCCACTCCTGCAGGAAGATGCTGGTCTGGCTGGCCTTACGTGGGAAGTTCCGTGCGGACAGGAGGGAGAGATTCATCTCCTCAAACTCATCCGCTGAGCCCTCTGCCTCATCGTTGCCTTCCTCGTTCTGATAGATAGGTAAAATGATAAATATAACAGTAGACCAACAGACAGACAGACAGATAGATGAATGGATGGATGGATGATAGGTAGATGCATATGTGGATGGATGGATAGAGTAACAGATAGATAGACAGACAGAATGATATATAGAATGATGGAACGATAGATAAATAGAATGATAGAATGGTAGAGCGATGGAACCATGGAACGACAAACCGAAAGAGGGATGGAACAATAGAACAACAGACAGACAGACAGACAGATAGAACGTTAGATAGAACGATAGAACGTTAGACAGAACGATAGAACGTTAGACAGAACGATAGACAGAACGTTAGACAGAACGATAGAACGTTAGATAGAACGATCAACAGACAGACAGATAGACAGACAGATAGACAGATAGACAGACAGACAGACAGATAGACAGATAGATATTTGCTATAGAAGCAGGATGACTCACATCAGATGTTGGTTCAACCTCAATTTGTAGCAAGGGACTCACTTTGGTACTGTGTGAAGAGAAACAGAAAGTGTGTTTGCTCAGGGAGGGTCATTTACCTCAGCAGAACGAACCAGTGTTTAATTTTCAAAGACCTATAATCTAATTAAAATCCATTGTTTACTTTATGCCATCTGAAAGGACCACATAAATTCTGCTTGTTCATCTTCATATTTTTAGATTGTACAAAAGCTGTTTGCACAAGCTCTGCTTAGTGAGCTGCCTACATTTAACATCCTAAGTGTAATGTAACCTCACACATTGCTAAGCTGTCTATACTCTAATCAACAAACATAAAAAGTAAAGATACATTATGAAAAATAATCCACTTTTAATTAAGACAAATCTATTTTCTATTAACACTTTTAGTAAAAAATATTATAAAACTCTGTTACATGTCTGTGGTAAGAAATGTGTTTGTTAATATGTTCTGACCCTTGTTTGGGTTGAAAAATATGAAAAATAAGACCGTGCCGGAAGATCTATCAGTCCATTTATGCATTCATGCCTGTTAACAATTTTACTCTACAGCTGTCAAACATCTCATTTCAGCTGCATTACGATACTCCATAATGAAAAACATACTACTGTCAAAGAACTACAGAAACTGAAATCTAGTTTGTCTTTGTAGTTAATGCATCTTGATTCATTTAATTAAATATAGCATTATTCTTTATGGGTCTTCGAGTTTTTTAAAACATCCATGGATATGACTGACATCATCACTGTAGTGTAAACTCAAGCCCCACTCTCTGTTTGGCTAAAGTTTATGTGTGTGTGTGTGTGTGTATGTGTGTGTGTGACTTGTCTTCAGTCACATCAGCTTTTGCACCACGAATATTTTTGCTCTAATAATTCTGTAATCTAAAATGCTCATATCTGCCATAAATAGACAAGCCATGGTGAAACTGTCTGACATGTCTGTGGCCTTTCACTGGGCATCGCTCTAAATACATACACAAACACACATAGTACAGGACAGAACATGACATGTCAGACACATTTGTATATTAATAAACAATGTTAAATGGTCTTGGCATCTCATTATAAGTGACACAAAAGAGATAATTGCACATTTTACAGTATTTGACCTCCATCTAAATGAGCAAGAAAGAATCATAACTACATTTTATGCTACTAACATTGCATTGAAAAAATTTATTGTATTAACTAAAGTTAAAAAGATTAATAATACTGTAAAAAATGTATTGCTTATTGTTAGATAATGGAACCTTATTTTAAAGTGTTACAGAGATAATTAATCACCATTGATTTACATGCATTTGCACTTTAGTTCCAAATCCCAGTGAGCTGTTTTGCGGTTTTACGACCTAATACTGATTTGGAATGCTCTACATAGACAGACTGATGTCATCATGTTTAAATGAATCCTAAAATGTCAAATCAACAAAGTCACATACACATATAAACACACACGCACTTACCCAGGCTCAGACAGAACAGGGTGTAGAATGACTTGAGGGGCCCTGGTGGGAACCTCAGGGGCCACATCTACAAAGAGAAAGAGTAAGACAATAAGTCACAAGACAGAAATGAGAGAGAAAATTACAATTTGTAAAAGAGTGTATTTTTATAGACTAAGTTAATCAAAACATGCAGGAAAACAAAACAAGCTGCTTACACTGAAAAAGACTGATGTAGAAACAATTTTTACTTAGAAAATTTTATTTTTTTTGTAAAACATACTCTGAAAAATGTCAAATGTCATTCTTAATTCTTATTAAAAAAAAATAAAACTTAAATATAATGAAACTATAACTATAATTAAAAACTTAAAATATTTTTTTACATGTGCCTACTACACAAACATCTGAAGCCATTCACTGCTGTTTTTTTATTTTTTAAGAAATTAATACTTTTATTCACCAAGGATGCATTAAATTGATCAAAGTGACAGAAAATACATTTTTAATGTTTATATTTCAAATAAATGCTGTTCCTGAAAAAAAAAAAATCACCGTTGCCCCAAAAATATTAGACAGCAGAATGGTTTTCAGCCATTGATAATAAGAAATGTTACTTGAGTGCCAAATCAGCATATTAGAATGATTTCTGAAGGATCATGTGACACTGAAGGCTGGAGTAATGATGCTGAAAAATATAATATAAAACATATATGAGGCTCTATTGTTAGGAAAGATGAAACCCTAGAGGATTCTCATTTAACAAACACTTTCTATTGAAAAACAAATGCCTAATGGATAAAACTGGCTGTGTGTTCCCTGCTGAAAGGTACAACAGTGACTGATCTCAGCAGCTCACCTCTAATATATAAACTGCCAAAAATTGGTTAAGTCAGTAGCCTTTATTATAAACTATCAGGCTACCAACACAACATGGCTTTTCTCCCTCCGCACGTTCATCAAAAACATGCAGCGAGCTGAGTGCCTCCCACAGAATACAGGCACTCATCAGCCTTTATTTGTCAGGGAGGCGCAGGCGACCTCGCCTTTAAAAGAACCATCATTAGAGAATACAGCATTGCTGGTTAAGAGACGACAAAAAGAAGAGCAAAGAAAGACAGAGGGAGAGGGAGGGGGTTTGTTGCGTCTCAAAGAAAAGATGGCATAAAAAAAAATGACATCAAAAAAGTTCGCCTAGGCATGTCGCGCTGCATTATGGGTAGGGGTAATGACCAATTATGACACACTTACCAGGGAAGATGAACTGCTGCTTGCATTTGTAGAAATGAGATGCTGAGAAGAGCACAGGAGAGAAGCAGACAGAATTCAATAAAATTCAATACACCCCCAGATGCTTATTGGTCTGTGTTATTATTCTGCAGAATCCATCACAAAGATGCATTTGCCATAAAAATAGCAACTTTTAGGATACAGAATGGTCCAAAAGTCTGAAACCACACTGAAAATCTGAGATTCAATGTCTAATAAATAAATAAAATCGACAGAAATAAATACAATGTTCTATGATTTTGAAAAAGTACAAAGAAATGTTGATTTAAAATATTTAATATTTAAATATTCAAATATTTTTAATTCTGCAGTGCCATCACTAATCAAATTTAGGATGTCATGTGAACTCTGGCACAGGATGTTCACAAACGTTTACAAAAGTTCTTCACAAACTTGAGTTCATGTCAGTTTGACTGCTGCTTATATTATGTGCTGCCATAATTGAAAAGCGGGACATTCCAAACAGAACTCCAGACTATGATTTAACTGACTGCAAATGCACCAGAAAATAAAAAACGGTGCAACAATTTAAAGTTTGTGTGTGTGTCAATATAAGCGGTTCAGTCAGATATCATCTGATTAAACTGCACACTACTGTTTTCTGCACGCAACGCAACAAACGCAGCACGGGCAGTGATGTCCGATTTGTGAAAAAAAATCACTGTTTTTTATTCAATCAAACTGTTTTTTATTAATGAGTCAGTCAAAAAGATTCAACAACCCTGCAAGTTAGCAGTCTGAATCAGACTCACCGAGTCAGTGAATCATTTAGAGCCATTCCTGAGTTTACAACTAACATGGTTCAGCGTGGTACAATTGCTACCTGTGCTCAACTGTGCCTGTAGTGACATGATGATGGTTTTCACAGTATGTCTACACACCTTTCTCACAGCAATGTAGATTATGCTAACTAACTCATTAAAACTGATATAATACATCAATGTACTGTTTTAATTGAAATCATAGAAGGATCATAGAAAGAGTGTTTTTTATTCTAGTTCTATTTTTAATTTTTATTTTTCAACAAAATAGACTGATATTTATATGGCACAAATAAGGATTATTAGAGAGACCACTGTTTTCTGCACGCAACGCAACAAACACAGCACGGGCAGTGATGTCCGATTTGTGAAAAAAAATCACTGTTTTTTATTCAATCAAACTGTTTTTTATTAATGAGTCAGTCAAAAAGATTCAACAACCCTGCAAGTTAGCAGTCTGAATCAGACTCACCGAGTCAGTGAATCATTTAGAGCCATTCCTGAGTTTACAACTAACATGGTTCAGCGTGGTACAATTGCTACCTGTGCTCAACTGTGCCTGTAGTGACATGATGATGGTTTTCACAGTATGTCTACACACCTTTCTCACAGCAATGTAGATTATGCTAACTAACTCATTAAAACTGATATAATACATCAATGTACTGTTTTAATTGAAATCATAGAAGGATCATAGAAAGAGTGTTTTTTATTCTAGTTCTATTTTTATTTTTATTTTTCAACAAAATAGACTGATATTTATATGGCACAAATAAGGATTATTAGAGAGACCAAATTAAATTGGAACAATTTATACTCTATACAAAAATCCTTATATGATTAAAATCATCCTCATCTTTATACAAATCATCATTTCCATCATTTTTTGGTCTGGAGCTCAGCCATATACTAAGAGAGTCTAAAATCCACTAAAATTGTTATGCATTGATATAGTTTATAACTAAATTTTTGTTTTATTAACTAGTGTTCATTTTGTCAGCTATTTTCATTTTAGTCTTAGTCTTAGTCCCGGGCTAAAATGTCCTTGTTACTTCCGCAATGAGGAGTGAGCGCATGCGCATGGTTGCCAGATTGCTTAAAATAAGCAAAACACACCGGGCAGAAAATGTATGCTTGTAACAGCGAAACTCTGATTCGGGGATTAGAACTCTTGAAAACTTGCGTAGTAGAGCAGTCTGCAATAACATTTTGTCTCCTTTTTTGACGAAAATAAAAAGTTTTTGGTAAAGTTTTTATCTTTTTTAATACATTTTAGTCTCGTCTTATTTCGTCAACGAAATTGCATGTTGATATAGTCGTAGTTATCGTTTATTGACCTTATTGTCGTCTCGTCTTCTTCTCGTCTTAGTCATGGGAAAAAAGCTCGTCAACGAACATTTTTCGTCATAGTCTTCGTTAACGAAATTAACACTATTATTAACATACAAAAATGCTAAACATTAGCTTTGCATTTAACCCTTATGCTGTTGAAAATGACAAATGCTAAAAATGACGGCCTTTTAAAGTGCCCCTATTATGCCATTTCCAATATTACCTTTCATGCAGTGTGTAATGTAGCTGTGAATGTAAACGATCTGCAAAGTTGTAAAGCCAACCCACAAACACGTCATGTTACTGACGATTGCTTCTCTAATCTCAGGGATTTGGATCTGCTGGCTCCACTGAATCACAACCTGCAAGTATGATAAATAACAGATGTTTATATTTTCTATCGAGCATTCAAAATACAGAACTATGGAAATGGGTGTATCGTTTCTGACACACGCTGTACGCAATAGACCAATCACAACAGACTGGGCCATCTGACCAATCAGAGCAGAGTAGGCTCAGGGAAACGAGGGTTTTAGAGAGACTAGAACTGCTTGGAACGAATCGTTTGAGAATCGTTGAAAAATGAGGTGACATTAAATGCATATTTTGAGAAAGAGTTTTTTGACCTTGCATGCATGTAATCCTATTGTAGGAGACTCCCAAAACAATATTAGGAACCTTAAAAATGGCATAATTGGGGCACTTTAAAAATTACTTGTATATCTTTCATTATTCTACAGCATATTATCACCAAATCTTGGATTCAATGTTTTTGTCATGTTGTTTATTTCAACTAGCATAGGCTTTGGAGAGCAGATTTTATTTTTATTTTTTTTTTGGATTGAACGTAGCCCTCATTGATCTGAGCTTATGCACCCTTGAAGTGAAAAACGCATTATTTTTGGATAATTTTGGCCAAATTCATTCAAAACTGAGGTGTATAAGCTCAGATCGCTGAAGCCTATGATCAGTCAGTTCCAAAAAGTAATACAAAACCTGTGCTAAGAGCAAGAAAACAAGTTGATAAAAGGATTGAATCCAATATTTGGTAATAATACAGTATAACAATAAATTTATAAGCAAATTGTGTAGCAAGGTGTAAAAAATGTGTGTGTGTGTGTGTGTGTGTGAAGATACCTTGTGTGAGCAAAGTCAGTAGGTTTTAGTCCAATGCGATCACATTAACTAGCATTTTAGGCAAAAAGAAAATCTTTGAGCATTAAGCAATTATTATTTGAAATTTAGTGGAAATGATCAAAATGAATAATTAAATCAGCTTATGTTTGGGGTTGGTACCTGTAAGGTTGGACTGTTTCTGCTGTCTGGCGCTTTGCGGAGAAGGGTGCAGAGGAGATGGGGGCGTCGCACTGGGCGGCAGAGGGGGAGCAGGAGATGACGGGGTGGAGGAGGTGGTGGAGGAGGGGTTACTGCTGGAGTCGGGCTGATACGGCACAGGGATGTGGTCCTGAAATAGAGACACACAGACTTTTTGTAACACACAAAAACACTCCCTACTCCTTGCTCATTCTCGGCGCGGTCAGACATCAGTAAACCCGGCTTCATTCTCACGGTCGGTTAAAGATTAATCATAAAACAGAGGTGTGGCAGCTGTCGACCTGATCTCCCATGGGCTGAAAACTGGACAGCCGTGCTACGTTTGAAAAACTGCCCAACGTCGTGTTAGAAAGAGGAGCACATCAATAGCCAGCAGTGTTGTCATAAAGTATGATTGAGAGGCATATATATTTGATAAGACAACAGAAATCCCCCCCCAAAAAAATGTCACGACTCTATGCTCTGCCAGTCATTAAAAGGCTTTTTGACTGCTATTTTTGTTGCTTAAGTGTCACAAATTGAGTCTTTGGGAAAAACAAAAGTTATAAAATACAACACAATATAAAACCAAATGCATCTGTTTAAAAATTAAGAGTGGAAGAATAATAATTAGTTCATGAGTTTTAAAGCTCTAATGTCAGATGGTAAGGTTATGAAATTTTTTATTCCATTTCCACTATACTCTCTCACACATACATACATACATCCTTCTATTACATACACATATTTTCTTCTTAAATACATTTATTATTTATAACTTTAAAAGTATACTTTGCATAAGAGCAAAATGTATAAACGTGTGCATAAAATATATGAATATATGAGGAAAATGTAAGAATGTGTGTGTTAAAATTTGTGACTATGAGAGCAAAAATGTATGAATGTGAAAGGATAATATAAGTGTGTGAGACCGCCAGAATGAATTATGGCTTGTACGGCCCTATGACACTTTTGCAGTTACAAATAACCAACTGGTCTGAAGGTGATTTTTAGTGGATGTATGAAGTCAGTTCCCTTCACACAAGTTCTAGAAACGTTTATGCTGTCAGGAAGCAAGCACACACACACACACAGAACGTGTTCTTGCATTTTAAAATAGCTAGATGGAGCGCAATAGAATGGAATTGAATGCAAGGATCCCCAGACACGTTTTTTTAAAAGTAGACTTGACATGGTGTGTTAAAAATGTCACACTCATCTTGTCGTGCCTTGGTTTCCAATAAACATAAGAAAACCAAGTGTGCCAAAAATGACAGGAAGGCTGTTTGATGTTGGTCTGCAAAAATTGCTTTTCATGCCAAGTTGTTTGAATAAAAAGCGAAAGCAAACAAGTTGTTCTAAAGATTACAGGACGGGCTTATAATTCCAATCTGCCCGAGAAAGTTTTGTGATAATGTTGACAGTGGAGGGATGTAACATGGTTGAGTTGTGTTTGTTCAAACGTAATGGAACGTAACTAATCTTACCTTGTTGATTTTGTTGGTCTTGGGGAGAGTCTGGCTAATGTGGAGGTCGGAGTACCTGAGGGGGTTGTTTATGTCACATGGTACCGACTCGGTCCTGACGAGCTGACGAGCTGAGAGAGAGGGCGAGAGAAACAGCATAGTATCCACGGTAACAGGAGGCAGTTGTCACGGTAACAGAAAAACTCTGAAAAGTCTTGTCACATTTTAATGGAAGAGCCACTAAACCATAAATACCCAGTAACCAGTATACAGTATATCAGAAATATCACAGGTATGACACACATGGAAATCCAACAGCAACGACCAGGGAGTGGTCATTCTTAACTTCCGCCAGCAAAGAAAAAAACATTTTTGTGTATTTCATATGCATAAAAACATTTAATTTCATATTAAGGAACCATTAAATTTAAGCATGAAAATAACATTAAATTCAATTTGGAGCTAGTAATTTAACACAACTCAATTCATCTATTTTCCTAAAGTTAGTATAATTTCCTAACAGACCAATTCTGAAAGTGCTTCACATTAAATCAGCCTAACAAAATTGGCTTGACATTTTTCCTATCTTATATTCATTTTTGTAATACACTAAAGCTCAAAAGATTGGGTTCAGTAAGATTTTTTAAAATAAATTAATACTTTTATTCAGCTAGGACACATACAATTGTTCAAAAGAGACATTTACAATGTTACAAAAGATTTCTATTGCAAATAAAAAGTTATAAAAAAAAAAAAGGTAAAATGTATCACGGTTTCCAAAAATAAAAATATCAAGCACAACTGTTTTCAACATTAATAATAAGAAATATTTATTGAGCTGCATATGATCAGCATATTAGAATGATTTCTGAAGGATCATGTGACACTGAAGACTGGAGTAGTAATGCTGAATATTCAGCTTTGCATCACAGGAATAAATTATATTTTAAAATATATTAAAACAGAAAACCGTTATTTTAAACTCTTAATACCATTTCACAATATTACTGTTTATTTACTGTAGTTTTAATCACATAAATGCAGCCTTGGTGAGCAGAAGAGACTTCTTACAAAAACATTTTAAAAATCTTACCGAACCCTTTTGAACGGTATTGTACATACATTTTCATGAGACATTTGAAAACTGTCCAGCACAAAATTTAAGGTATGAAATAGGAAATAATGTGTTTGATGAGCACGTTACCTTGAGATGTTACTTGATCTGTAATATCAGAAATGAGGGGAAAATGAGGTGGTGAAAAAAGAAAAAGAGAGGAAAGGTAAGATGGGTGCAGACTGAAGGTTATAATGTTTAACAGAGAACCAGACAAATTGTTTAGTACATTAATGCAAAGTAGATGTGACATTCTTTTAAAAATACATTCTTCATTCCCTTTAAACACATTCTCTTATTTGGAAACCAGACTGGAGTAGTAATGCTGAATATTCAGCTTTGCATCACAGGAATAAATTATATTTTAAAATATATTAAAACAGAAAACCGTTATTTTAAACTCTTAATACCATTTCACAATATTACTGTTTATTTACTGTAGTTTTAATCACATAAATGCAGCCTTGGTGAGCAGAAGAGACTTCTTACAAAAACATTTTAAAAATCTTACCGAACCCTTTTGAACGGTATTGTACATACATTTTCATGAGACATTTGAAAACTGTCCAGCACAAAATTTAAGGTATGAAATAGGAAATAATGTGTTTGATGAGCACGTTACCTTGAGATGTTACTTGATCTGTAATATCAGAAATGAGGGGAAAATGAGGTGGTGAAAAAAGAAAAAGAGAGGAAAGGTAAGATGGGTGCAGACTGAAGGTTATAATGTTTAACAGAGAACCAGACAAATTGTTTAGTACATTAATGCAAAGTAGATGTGACATTCTTTTAAAAATACATTCTTCATTCCCTTTAAACACATTCTCTTATTTGGAAACCAATTTTCAAAACGCTTCTAATTAAATATGGTCAGTTGAAAATAAAGCAGTTATGAGGTTGAACACATGCTGTGTATAAGAATATTGCTGTTTCTGAAATCATATTTGAACCATAATTAATGGCCTGCCTTGAGTAGTAGTTTTTGTTTTAAGCATTTATGGAGTTAGAAAGAAAGAAAGAAAGAAAGAAAGAAAGAAAGAAAGAAAGAAAGAAAGAAAAAGAAAACCTCTGGATGAGTCCCTACCTCCTCTGTGGTATATGAGTAAATGACAGGGTGGAGCTTCTTTGGTGCATTTGTTGTGGCACTTCAATCTGACAAATGAAAGCATGACAGAAATGTTTATTAGTTTGCTCTTGTAAAAGCAAATCAATGAATATTCAAAACAAGCACTTAATATGCAGCCATTATTTTGAGGGTGTCAAAAGCCAGCACGTATCTTAGTAACAAGATGCCATAGTCAAGGGTGGTAGAGTGGAAACTATTAGGCCGGTAATTTATTCAAATAATCTTTTAATGATAATGATAATTATGCTCAATTTGAATGTTCAGACACTACTGCAGGCACAAAGTCTCTAGCACTGAATTCTAAAGAGGCTGTGATGCAAACAAAAACATCAAATCACATAGTTACAAAGCTGAAATGTTAGGAATTTTCATTTTCAGAGATTTGAGTTGTTGCAAGAGATGGTTAAAGAAATTATAATAGATTATGGAGTGTATATTTAACATTCTACATGCTGTGATTCAGTCTGTAATTTCAGCATCAGACAGAATTACAAAAATAACTACATTTTTTATGATTTTTTGAGCTTTAAGGAAACTTAACCGTAAATGTAAACGTAAACGTGGTGTTTGCTGCTGCAATACTCATCACAACGACTGCTAGGGATTGCTAAAAGTTGTTTTCATATATATTATGTATGGACCTTTTTCACATTTCCGGGTTTCTCAGCAGCAGCAGTCGTCATAGTTGAGTAAACTTCTATAGCAGTGAATGGGAGACTACCACAAATATATATTTTTTTTGCATTCACATTTGCTCAAATAGCAAAAGAAACACATGAAGTGAAGTGACGTGACATGTGGCCAAGTATGGTGACCCATACTCGGAATTAGTGCTCTGCATTTATCCCATCCAAAGTGCACACACACAGCAGTGAACACACACACACCGTGAACACACACCCGGAGCAGTGGGCAGCCATTTATGCTGCGGCGCCCGGGGAGCAGTTGGGGGTTCGGTGCCTTGCTCAAGGGCACCTCAGTCGTGGTATTGAAGGTGGGAGAGAGCGCTGTACATTCACTCCCCCCACCTACAATCCCTGCCGGTACGAGACTCGAACCCGCAACCTTTGGGTTACGAGTCCGACTCTAACCATTAGGCCACGACTTCGACATGATAGTGTTTTCATGACTTTCAAAAAAAAGGAAAAAATAGAGAGAGACTGATAACGGCAGTCAGTAGAGAGAACAATGTCAAATTTACTGTCACTCCCATAGACGCTGCATTAGAAACACTGTTTCTAATACATAGAAACTGTGTTAGATTTACGATGCTGATGACCGTTGAAACGGTCTATTATTTTATGTATTATTTAATTATGTATTAAAAGTAATTTTGTCAGAATTATTACTTATCTCATGCAGTAATTTAGACTTTTCATGACATAATTTCGACTTATCTCAATTGTTTTTTTGTTCTAATCATTTGACTTCTTGTCATAATTGATATCATAATGTAAACATTTTGTCAATTTAAACTTTTTATATTATTATAACTTGGTATATCATTATTTTGACCTTTTATGTCATAATTATGACTTTTATCTAATAATTTTGGGCATTTGTGTCATCATTTCAACTTTATCTCATAATTATGACTTAGCATCATATCATTTCAATCTTTTTAGCTCATAATTATGACTTAGTATCTTATCATTTCAATGTTTTATCTCATAATGAGTGAGTGAAGTGACGTGTGGCCAAGTATGGTGATCCATACTCGGAATTTGTGCTCTGTATTTAACCCATCCAAGTGCACACACACACACACACCGTGAACACACACCCGGAGCAGTGGGCAGCCATATTGCTGCGGCGCCCGGGGAGAAGTTGGGGGTTCGTTGCCTTGCTCAAGGGTCTCACCTCAGTCATGGTTTTGATGGTGGAAGAGAGCGCTGGTTATTCACTCCCCCCACCAACAATTCCTGCCGGACCTGAGACTCAAACCCGCTACGTTCGGGTTACAAGTCCGACTCTCTAACCATTAGGCCACGACTGCTAATTATGAGTACATAATAATTTCAAGCTTTTGTCATAATTGTTTGTTATAATTTCAACTTTTTATCTCATAATTATGACTACATAATTACTTCAACTTTTGTCATAACTGTTTTGGTCATAATTTAAACTTTTTGTTATAACTTTTATATTTTTCATATCTCATTTTTATCTCATAATTATGACTTGGTATCTTATAATTTCAACGTTTTATCTCATAATTATGACTACATAATCATTTCAACCTTTTGTCATAATTGTTTGTCATAACTTAAACTTCTCATAATTATGACTTAGTATCTTATAATTTCAACTTTTTATCTCATAATTATGACTACATAATTATTTAAACTTTTGTCATAACTGTTTTTGTCATATTTCAACTTTTTGTTATACTTGTTTTATATTATAATTTCAACCTTTTATCTCATAATTATGACTTAGTATCTCATAATTTCAACTTTTCATGTCATACTTATGAGTTATAAAAGCATGATTTGTTTTCTTATGTGGCAGAAATGGGCTTCCATACTAAAGTTTTAGCACTTGCATGATTTACAGAAACATGGTTTATATTCTTATGTTGGGGAAATGGGCTCCCATACAAACATTTTAGCACTTACTTGCAGTGTTTGCATTTTAAGCCGAACAGCATTCCTTTCCCGCACACGATACATATCTGTGACATCCAATACTTCGTGGAAAACCTGTACAAGCACAAATAAGTGCCGTGATTCATTACTGAGCCTTTTTTGAGACATTTTCCAAGAAAAAACTCTTATTTTATCAATTTTTAAAATGCACGAGGCCATATGGGTTTGTTTTGCTTCGCTGTCAAACTATCAGCAGATGGTTCTTACCTTTTGACAACCACTCCTAAACTCTTCAGATGAAAGAGCGAATGTGTCACAACAGCGATCACGTTTGCCAAGTAACCTTTTCATCTAGAGACAGATATGTGCAGCGTATGCCCAAAGATAGGCACTTTGGCAGTAATTCTCAATTCAGAGTAATTTAATTGTAACCGAGGATCTTTCAATATCTCCTTTGCACTCGACTGTGCTTTCGCACTTGACAAATACACAAGAGGACAAAGGCTGTACGGATGCATTGGCGATTGTTCAGCAGAATTGCATGGAAGGTGCTCTCTTTATTCTTCAATCTCTATCTCTTTTTGTTTGCATGTAGTCACATTTGCGTTCTCCACAATAAAAGGGCCATTCAAATCTCCTGGAATAGAGTTCCTCTGAAGGGTCACTGTGCATTTGCCAATCTATTTATCTGATATTAACAGAAGCTGACAGTTAATAGAACATGACTAATGGGCTCTGACAGTGTCAAAGTGTCTTCATTAGATTTAAGCTATACTGTCTCATGAAGGAGGAGGCTGGCTTTAGTACGCAGCTCACATCACTGTAGCCAGTTTAAAGTTGATATGAGCGTTTCAATTTTTTGGATCTGTTTATCTGATTGCATTTTGAAACTGGCAGTTGTCCATCTATGATGACACATAGACAATGATTTCCACGTCTAAAGTACCAGGAAAACGAGAAATTGTTTTAGCCTTGGTGAACTTTGCATATGTTTTGATGGCTAAGCTACAGTGAGCTCTCATTAAAACCCTTATAACTTTGATCACAAAAGCACCGTGTTTCGTTGTCTAAGTGTTCTTTGTTTGACTTGGGATCGGTGGTATTTGGGGTAATCAAGTCATCAGATGTGAGAAGGCATGACTGGGGTTGCACAACCACACGAGTTAATTGGCTTGACATTTTGTAACCACTACCACACATTCATATCTGCACAAAACTTACCTGTGTTTTATGGAGTTGCCGAGGTCTCTGCGAGGTATTTGAGGAGACCAGCGAGGAACAGACAGAGTATCTGGAACAGAATGGTTGGGTCAGACACAGGAAAACAGGATTAACACTTGTAAACAAAGAATTAAAAAACCAAATAACTATTATAAACCTTAAAATCACTTTCATAAAGAGGCTAAACGAGGTATTATAATTCCTGGATGAGCTATAAAGCAGTTGTAAAAAAGCAATTAGTTACAAGAAGCCATACAGTGATTTTACCATGGTTAAGAGATTAACCCTAACCCTAACACAGTACAAACAAAACAGCTTTAACAGCAATATGATGAAGACAAAACGGTTCAATTATTTAAAAAAAAGTTTAGATTTATTGACAAGAAAGTGATTTATTAACAATCGTAACTCTAACTTGCATAGCTCAGTCGTGACTGCATGTGGCCTTTCTTGAGGAGTAGATTTTTTTCTTGCAACCCTCCCATACAAGCCGCATTTGTGGAGAGTTTGTGATATCGTTGTCAAACCACACAATGACCACTCTTTGTCATAAATTCCTACAACTGCTTCAGTGTTGCTGTAGGCCTCTTGGTAGCCTCTCTTTTTTTGTATCCATCTCCTGTCTTGTGCCTGTCCACAACTTTATCCCGGAGATCTTTTGACAGTGCTTTGCCATCCATAGTTGATTGTTTGCTTCAGTCGCGCTATCAAGGACTGAAATGCTCCAGGAAAGCTCTTTTCTTGCTGAGCTGATCAAAATGAGCACAGCTGATCACAGTTAAAAGTCAAATGGCTTTGTGTGCCATTGAGAAGGTGAT